ATTCTTTCAACAAATAAATGCCTTTGAGATAGGAAACTTTGGGTAATGAAGGAAGCACCTCCTTAAATACAAACCCAAACAAATCGTTTTAAAGGCAGGTACTCTACCACTTGAGCCATACCTCCAGCCTTTTTGCTTTGGTTATTTTTGAGATAGGATTTTGAACTTGTGCTCTAGCTGGCCTGGATCACAATCCTCCTATTTATGCTACCCACATAGCTACATGACCACATGCAGTTTTTATTGTTTAAGATGGAGGTCTCAAGAACTTTTTGCCATCCAGGAGCCAGTGGCTCACGTCTATAATCTACCTCTCAGGAGGTAGAGATCAGGAGAATCTTGGTTTGAAGTCAGCCACGGGCAAATAGTTCACGAGACCCTATCTTGAAAAAAACCCAGCACAAATTTTTATTTTTAAATTTTATTTATTTATTTATACTGGGGATTGAATTCAGGACCTTGTGCAAACACTCTACCACTGAGCAACATCTTCAATGCCTTTTTAAATTTTTAAAAAAATTTTGAGACAGAGTCTTGATAAATTGTTCAGGCTGATATCAAATTTAGCATCCTCCTGTCTCAGCCTCCTGGTCTCCATCCCTGGTCAGAAGTAATTTTAGGTGATGAATATGATCACTATCTTTTTTTTTTTTTTTTTTTGGTGGCACTGGGGTTTGAACTCAGGGTTTAATGCTTCCTAGGCAGGCACTCTACTGCCTGAGCCACTCCACCAACCCTTTTTAGTATTGGATATTTTTTGAGATAGGGTCTCCTAAACTATTTCCTTGGGCTGACTTCAAATCAAGATCCTCCTGATCTCTGCCTCCTGAGTAGCTAGGATTATAGGTGTGAGCCACCAGTGCCTGGCTATGTTCACTATCTTGATTGTGATGATGTATAGTTATAGAATTGTATACTTTAAATATCTTATGCTAAAATACCTTGATAAAGCTTTTTTTTTTTTTAATCCTGAGGTAGATATGATGGTGCATAGCTGTAATCCCAGCTCCTAGGGGAGGCAGAGATAGGGAGGATAAAGAATTTGAGGCCAGCCCAGGCAAAGTTATCCAGACCCTATCTCAGAAACAAATTATAAACAAAAGGTCCAGGGCAGTGGCTCAAGAGTTAAGAGTGCTTGCCTAACATGTACAAGGCCCTGGGTTTAATCCCTGGGTACTGAAAAAAAATTCTGGAAAAAAGCAAGAAAGAGGCTGGGAGAGGGAGAGAATTCTTGGGCCTTTTGTAATTTTTTCTTGCTCAAAGATACCAGATGGTGTCTGATTTTAATTCTGTTCTTAGTACTTTGCTGCATTTTTTACTGCCAGGACAGTCTATATGCTCAGCTTTCTAGTCTAACGTGGAGCTATCCTGTAAAACCGCTCACTTCAGCTGCTCCTATCTCTTCTTGGACCTGGAATGCAGCTTATACTCCCTGTCTCTGCCTGCATTTGCTGTAATGTTTCTTCCATTCTAAACGATCCAAATTTTCTCTTTCCTTTCAGGCTCAGTGAAAGTAGGATTTATTTCACAGTCTTTCCTATCTATTTCCACAGAAAAAATTCTCTACCCTCTTTGAGTTTCTCTAGTATTTATAATCTAAACTGCTCTTTTGACACCTATTTGGTGTCTTGTAATATTTGCTTTTCATGTGCCTATGTCTTCTCAACTAGACTATGAACTTCTTCAGGACAGGGACTAGGTCATATTTATCTTTGTGTCTCTCCCAAGGTGCTTAATAAGTGTCAATTTAAAACACTTCACTTCTATAGTCTTTCCAATGCACTTTCTCAGCCATTATGTCATGTGATCATGACATCACCACCATGAGACTGGAGGAGCTAGAAATATGTTATTTCCTCCCTTTGACAGATAAGGAAACCTGAAGTCCGAGGTCACAGCTAATTAAATTGCCTACGAAGGCTTAATCCAATTTAGGCTTCCCACCATCATCTCCTCCATCCTCCTACCCGAAGACACACTCTGCCCCACTCACCTCCTTGGTACCCAAGTGCTTCAGAGCCATTTAGCCAAAGCTTTGTAGTCTCATAGTTGAGAAGTTGACAAGTCTGGGAGATGAAATTTCAGTAGGTTTCTGATCGGCTCTGAAGCACCGAAGCATGCTTGCTGTTTTGTTCCAAGTGCTGTTTGTTAGGGACATTATGCCAGATAGTTAATGATGCTGCACTGGAGAACTGGGGAAGCATAAAGGATTTTTAAAAGCTTTGGAAAATGACAGCACTGTGGCATTAAGCATGAAAGGTGGTAGCTGATGGGCTGACCAGGGATATAAAATCTGTACACCAGTTCACACCACTCCTTTAGGAATAGAATTCTCTAGCTAGTTCTAGAAGAAATTCTCCAGTGCCCAGCACACCTTACCCACTGCAGGCTGTCAGCTTCTTCTCTGATGCAAGAGATCCGATAACCTTGGGGCGGTTTACTTAGCATCAAACATCATATTTTATTTTTGCAATGAGGGTTTCACCGTGTTGTCAGGCTAGTTTGGAATTCCTAATCCTCCTGCTTCAGCCTCCAGAACAGCTGGGATTACAGATGAATACCACGACCACACAGCATTTTATTTTTTAAAATAATTCACCTCCTGACTAGCTTCCAGTCAAAGAGGGTGTAGGTAGGAATAGGGGTTGGGTTTAAGACAGGGGAGAATGAAAGATGAGAAATAAAGGCAAGGCCGAGGAGCCTGGGGTAGGCAATTCAAGAATCTGACCCAAGGGACAAGGAACCACGTGCGACCTGGGGTTGGCTGGGCTGGAAACTCGGGGCGCCGGGTGGATGGCTGGATCGGTAAGGTCCAGAGGACCCTGGAGGAGGTTTAGGCTCCCGGGTCGCTACCTTGAACTTAATCTTAGTTTTCCCCTCTGTAAAATGGGTATGATGGTGGCTTTCCCCCCAGCCCCCAAGATGATTTAAGAACAAAATGAGGAAAAATAGGGAAGCAAAAACGCTTGGCATAGCGCCTGCCCCCTCGCAGGCCCTCAATCAACGTTAGCAATCATTGCCATTTTCTCCACATTTGCCCTTAACGGGGTGGAAGGGGGGGAAGCTCCCAGAAACGGGCAAAGCGGCCTGCCCGGGACCGCCCTCTGTCCCAACCCGGGAGTTCACGGCCGTTAGGGACCCAGGGCGCGCGCTGGGCGTAGGGCGCGGGGCGGGGCCTGCCGTTCCCGCCTTGGTTACGGACCCGCCCCTCGCTCGCTCTTTCGGGGCCTCTCGTGCACTCTCGGCCCCTTCCCCTGCCTTCCCGCGCGGTGCTCCGTGACCTGGCTTCCCCCACGCCCTGCGCCGGGCCCGAGTGAGAGGTTCCGGAGCCGAGGCGCTGGCCGGGTGTCGACGCTTGGGGACCCGCCGGCCCAGCCCCCCTCGGCCTCGCCTCGGGAGTTTCCGCGGGCCCCGGTGTGCAGGTTTGCTGGTGGCGGGCGGTGGGCTCGCCGCGGGGAAGGCAGCGGCGGGAGGGGGAGCCCGTCCTGCTCTCGGCCTCCGGCCGCCGCCAAGGCCGCCTCGCCCTTGGGAACCTTTGGCCGCCCAGACACGGGGGAAGTCGGCGCCGCAGAGCCCGTGCTGCATTTTGATTCATCTCGGGCCCTGTGAGGATCACATCTTGTGAAAATACCTGTAAAATCAATTTAACGTTCAGTGCAGCGTGTGAAGACAGCTCTAAGAATTTAAAAGACGCCTGAGTCAACGTTTGAGTGCTTGGGTCCCTGTAGCAGCGTTTTAACACGTCGGAGTGCGGAGGGTGGAGAACCGAGCCTGATTGTCGCCACCGTTCACGCCCTGTAACATTTTAAAAGGGTAAAGAAAAGCACCCGTAAAAAAAAAAAAAAAAAAAAAAAAACCCAAGTAGGCAGCTCTTCTGGGGAGGAAACAGCTGACTTGTGGAAATCTGGATTGGGCCTCATTTTCCTGTGCGAAATTGGCCTGCAAAACTTTGTACTTCCAAGCTTAGATCAACAATAAACTGAATTGTTAAAACACAGGGGTTAGCTAAATAGTGGCTTTTGCTGACAAGTTGATTGTGTTGTTCATTCTTAATGTCTCATCCAAAGCAGGAATCGTTATCTCGGTTTTGCAGGTGGGGGAAAAAAAAAAAGTTTGACACACAAAAAAAGCCTTTCCCTTAAATTCACACAGGAGCTGCAAATTAAGTCCTAGCGTTGGGCCTGCTCAGCTGCGTTCCCCTCTAGAGCATGTTACAAAACAAATGAGTAGTTACTTTGATGTTACTCGTAAAGCGAGCGAGTAAACCAAATGTTCTGTGAACGTGAAGTGTTAAATCATAATGACCTTCAGTGTCTGCTGGGCTTTGGGAGGCTGAGCTGCGCTGCTTCGGAGTTTGAGATCTTACAAAGAGAAGGGGATGGAGCAAAAACATGGAAAGCAATGTCCAAGCAAAAATTGTCTCGAGTCCCGACTGTGCTCATCTTTACTGCCACTCTTTTCAGTGTACTCCAAGTTCTGGCAAAACATCCATAGTTCATGTCCCAGCCTCACACCTTTGAGTTACTCTGTGAGCATTGACCTCTGTCAGTCTTGTCAAAAACCTTTCCTCCAGGTGTTCTTCACTAACGGTGTTATGTGTAGCCAGGTGCTGGTGGCTCACACCTGTTATTCTAGCTAGTTGGGAGGCTGAGATCAGGAGGGTCATGGTTTGAGGCCAGACTGGGTAATAGTTCTTGAGACCCCTATCTCCAAAATAACTAGAACAAAATGGACTGGAGTTTGGCTCAAGTCCTAAAGGGCCTGCTTTGGAAGCACAAAGCCCTGAGTTCCACCAAACAAGCAAAAAAACAAAAAAACCTAAACATCTAATGCTGCTATGTGAAAAAGAGTTGTTTGTCCCTCCTGAAGGATGACTCTAGAGTCTTTTTTGTTTTGTTTTACTTTTTTGCAGTACTAGGGTTTGAACTCAGGGCCTACACCTTGAGCCACTCTACCAGCCCTTTTTTTGTGAAGGGTTTTTTGGAGATAGGGTTTCATGGACTATTTGCCCTGGCTGGCTTCGAACTGCAATCCTCCTGGTCTCCGCCTCCTGAGTAGCTAGGATTACAGGTGTCAGCCACAAGCGCCTGCCATGACTCTATAGTTATTGATCAAAAACTACCAACAGATCTTCCATGGAGGGACAAGTTGAAGATCACCAAAAAAACAAACAGTTATGGAATTGGATAGCTGAGTTATTTGGGTGAGAAAAAGCAAACTTTGATCCCCCCTTCTTTTCTTCAGTTTATTCATAACATGAATGTAGTAACTCAGTTTTAACTTGGGAGGGGGTCCTGATTGTCTAGTGAATTGGAGGTTTTTCTTTCTTTTTAAAAAGAGCCTTCTTTTGGACAGTGTGGAACAGTAGAGACATTTATGTACTTGGTAGGCAAAATATTTTGGTATTTGTGTGTCCTTAAAACTTGCCTAAGAGCTTTGGGAACTAGGATATGTGTATAATCCTTTTCGGTAAGAAGTACCCTGAGGTTCTTTCCCAGCTTGTGGACAACAGAAACTGGAACCGGAGGTAGATTCATCTTTTGTTTTCTTTCATTTGGTTCCACAGAGATAAAACTCCCAAGAAAATCAAATGGCGTCAGGAGATTTCTGTTTACCTGGAGAAGGGATGGAAATACTACAACAAGGTAAGGGTAGACATTTGCAAAAGGTTCAATGACTTATTCAGAGAGGTCTTATCTATCCAGCCTTCTGTAATAAAAAGGATTCATAATGTCCACCAGAACAGTGTCTCCCACAGAAGCCTAAGTTCTGGGGAAAGGAGAACACATGGAGATTCTTGAATACTCTCTTTTGAGGAACAGATTACACTAACTCCTGTTAGTGTTGGTTTAGTATCTTCTTTTGCACTAGACTAAAAACTCAGCATGCTCCCAGACTGCATTAGCAAGCATATTATAAAGATGAGGTGGCTAGCCAATTCCTTGAAGCCTTCCTTCCTACCTGTGTTTTTAATTTTCTCACATCTTGTTCTCCAAAACCTCAGCTCCTTCTACATCTTGAGTTCTTTCCATATCTTGAATTCTTTCTATCTCTTGAATACTCCAAGCATTTGCATTTTCTGTATTTCAACTATTTCTATATGGAATTCTTCAATATTTTAGAGGGGCAGGAAAACAGAGATAGATAGATTTTTTTTTTTTATTCTCTAAAAGGATGTTGGGTATGATGGTCCAAAGAATGAAAACTTGAGCGTCTGTAATGGTACAAGACCCCAGTGGAGAGCACCTGGGAAAGAGATGGATGGAAAGAAAGCCTCTTACACATACGGAATAGCAGAGAATCCTAACCTCTGGCACTTCTCTTATGCTTGTGCTATTTTGTATTACCATGAATTTTTCAGCTTTACTTACAATAATAAGAATTTGCTCAGTCAAGTTTTTTACCTTTAAGGGTATACCTTTTCTCAATTGGAACTCTGTGTGTGTGTGTGTTCCTCCTCTTTCTCAAGATCTCTAGTCATTTGGCCAGGCATAGTGGAACATGTCTAGTACTCCCAGCACTCAGGAGTCTGAGGCATGAGGACCTCAAGTTTGAGGACAGTCTGGTCCACATAGCGAGACCTTGTCTCAAAAACAAACACAAAAAAACTTCTAGTAATTCTGTGTGAATGAAGCATTTTTAAATTTTTCTTAAGCATGCTACCATTAAGTTATACCCCCTAGCCCCTGCACTTCCATTTACCAAGACCTTAATTTTATTGCATTTTATTGTATACTTTGATTAATATCCTTGTATACAAAGTAGATGCTTGTTACTTTTGAGTATCACTTTGTTTGTGTTTTTGGTTTGGGGCAGTACTAGGGCTTGATATTCAGTTTTATTTATTTATTTTTGTGGTGCTGAGGATCAAACCCAGGGCCTTGTATATGCTAAGTAGCTGCTCTACCACTGAGCCACACGCCCAGCCCTTTTTATTTTTAGTTATTTTTCACATAGGGTCTTGCCTTTGCCTCGGGTTAGCCTCCAACTGGGATCCTCCTAACTATGATTACAAGTTCAGGGTCTCACTGTGTTTCCCAGGCTGGTTTCAAACTTCTGGGCTCAAGAGAACCTCCCACCTCACCCTCCTAAGTAGCTGGGACTATAGTTGTGAACCACTGCACTTGACTTTATTTTTTATTTTAAATCTCATTAGATTTAGAAACATTTCCTACTAAAAATTTGGTTTTGTGGGGAAGTAAGTATTAGGTTATGCTCAATTATATAAAGTAAGAGCCCATACCTTTTTGCTTTTTTGCTGTGCCATTAAGTGTGCAGTAAACAGTTTCCTCCATGTCACCTGAGTGAAGAGGATCTGTTACAGAACCCGTACTTCAGCAAGCTGCTCCTGAGTCTCTCACAGCATGTGGATGAGAGTGGCTTAAGTGTTACCCTGGCAAAGGAGCAGGCTCAGGTAAGGGTCTAGGGAGAAGGGATGATAGGAGGAAGAGAAAGTTACTAGCTGAAAATTTTTAATTTTCTAGGCATGGAACAAAGTTCGACTACACAAGACAACGTGGTTGAGGTCTGAGATTTTACAGAGAGTCATTCAAGAGCTACTTGTTGACTACTATGTGAAGACACAAGACACAAATTTAACTTCAGAGGATAAAAAGGTGAGGCTGAAGAAATGAGGTAGCTGTCAGTTGCCTACTATAAGAATGACCAGGCGAGCTGGATGTGGTGGTACATGCCTGTAATCCTGGCACTTGGGCAGCTGGGGCAGGAGGGTCTTGAGTGCAGGAATTCGAGACCAGCCTAAACAACATGGTGAGACCCCATAAGGAGGGAGAGAAGGAAGAAAGGGGGAGAATGAAGGAAAGAAGGGAGGAAGGGAAGGAAGAAAGGGAGGAGAAGGCACTTGCAGCTGAAGAGTTATCTGAAGGGGATGACATGTTTGAGGACTTTCAAAATGTATGGTTTGTGGGAATGGAAGGGTGAAGTGGGAGGAGTTTCAGAGTCACCTCTTTTTGCTTTTTATTCTCTCAGTTTCATGAGACCCTTGAACAACGGCTTCTTGTGACTGAACTGACACAGATTTTAGGTCCTAGCCAGGAAGGGGAGATAACTCCAGTGCTAGGGCTGGAGAAGGCAGACCTTCTGGAGCTCATGCCACCCTCAAAGGTACAGATACTGGGACCAAAGAGTGAAACGGCTTAATGTCTTCTGTATCTTTAAAATTTTTTTTAAGTTTTATTATTTTTGTAAAAATGACACACATCCACGATGGTCAAACTCAATATGGAAAACATTACACAGAAGAAAGTAAAAGCTGAAGTACCACTTCTAGAAATACAGTATTATTATAAACAGCTTGCATAGTGGTGTTATACTCTACACTTAGAGCATAGTTCTACACTTATAGTCTGTTTTTTTTTTTTTTGAGACAGGGTCTCCCTGTATAGCCACGAGGGCCTCAAACTCACAATACTCCTATCTTAGCCTCCCAAGTGTGCAGTCTGTCTTGACATAATATATTTTAGACTTTTTTTTCAAATCAAAAGATAGATGTAAATAAGATGATACTCCCAATTGCACTCTTAGCTCAGTGTTTAGGCACCTAGTGCTCAATGTGCTTATTCAGTTTAAATCACTGATAGGGTTCCATTGGATATACATAATTTGCTTAACCTTATTGATGGATATTAAGTTATTTCCACATTTTTTCCTGTTAGAAATCACACTGACATAAACATGCTAGTTAATAGGTGTCTTTGCCTTTGTATGATTATTTCTCTAGTGTTGGTGCTACGAGTGGGATCACTGGGTCAGAGCATACAGACGTGAAACACATTTGGTTCCACACTGCTCTCCAGAAAGGTGTTTCCACCAACATGGGGTCAAGATCTTCAGAGTCATTTTGCTTTTTGCTAATTTTATTTTTTTTGTTTTTTATGGTGTTGGGGATCAAACCCAGGGCCTTGTATATGGTAGGCTACACCCAAACGTCTCTTTTTGCTCATTTGATAAGGTAAAATTGATGTATTTTCTTGCTTATTAATAAAGATATATCATCATACATTCATTGGCAAGGTCTTCCTAGTTTATTCTTTATTTTTTAGGGGTTCTGGGGTTTGAACTCAGAGCCTTGAGTTTTTTAGGAAAGTGTTCTCCCACTTGAGCCATACCCCCAGTCCTCTTCCTAGTTTTAGCAGCCTATTTGCATCTTTCTTTTTGCTTCAGGACTTTATGTGGATGAGAGCTCGGCTCCAGCTGGAAGTGGAGGAGCAGCTCAAGAGGAAATGTTTCACTCTGCTCTGCTACCATGATCCCAATTCAGGTGAGTACTGGCAGTCTGTTCTGCTCACAGGTGACGTTCCGGCTTCCCTGGGCTGAGCTGCTCTTTTGAGAATAATGTATTTGAACTTTGGAATCAGAAATGTTTGTTTGTTTCCTTGATAGTGAAATAAAAAACAATTACTTTTGTTAGGACTCTGCTTTTCAGCAAGGCACTGAGAGGAAGGTCCTCCTGGTGCAGGGAAGGATGAGTCTCTTCTCATGAGGATCAGAATGGCAAAGGGAGAGAAGTGCAGGCTTGTAGTTTTCCCCTGACCTTTTTTCTGATGACTTAAGAATTCAGGGCCAAATCAGGAACCAAAGGTAAGACTAAAAAAAACATAGCTATGAGAGCCAGAGTTAAGAAAGAAACCTGGGAGAAGGCAGAATTTAGAGGGCTAATGTATATGGTAGGGGCAATGAACAAAACCCTTAGAAGGGTAGTAGCAATTAGGGGTTTTTTTTGTCAGTCCTCTTTCTCTTTGCCCAGATGCTGACAGTGAAATCCTGAAGGCAGCAAAAGTCTGGAAACTGGCAGAGGTCTTCATAGAAGAGAAGCAGCAGTGCCTGGATGCCAAGAGCCAGCAGAAAGAGCAACTGGTGCTGTTGGAGAAGAAGAGCGCCACCTACTCCCAGGTTTGTTAGGGCAGTTGGACAGCCTCTGTTCTCCTTTACTCTGACCCCAGGGACACCTTTACTGAAGCCAAGGATTTCTGGTTTTCCCTCCTTTCCCCCCCCGCTCCCCGTCTTTGCTTACGTCCTCTTCGTCTTGGGAGTTCAGGTGCTTCTCCGCTGCCTTGCCTTGCTGCAGAGGCTTCTTCAGGAGCACCGGCTAAAGACTCAGTCTGAGCTACACTGCATCAATGCCCAGTATCTGGAAGTCAAATGCAGTGCCATGATCCTTAAGCTGAGGTGAGCCTCGTGGAGCCAAGGCATTCTGCCTCACCCTCCCCATCCCTCCATCCTCATCTCTTCCTGTCCACCATGCCTGGCATCTTCTGCTTACCCAATAAATGTCACACGGATTACCAAAAAAACTCTCAACACTCTTAGCTGGTGCCAGTAGCTCATGCCTGTAATACTAGCTGTTCAGAAGGCAGAGATCAGGAGGATTGTGGTTCAAAGCCAGCCCAGGCAAATAGTTCACAAGAGCCTATCTTGAAAATACCCAACACAAAAAAGGGTTGGCAGAGTGACTCAAGTGGTAGAGTGCCTGCCTAGCAGACATGAGGCCCTGAGTTCAAAACCAGTACTGCCAAAACTTTCAACATTCTTGAGTCTAACTTTTCTAAAATAGGTGCTTTACTGTGTGATCAATTGCTCAGGGATTCAGAGTGGCCTTGTTTATCCCATCACTGCTTAGCCAATACCTTGACCATGGGCGGGTACTGTGTCCATTACTAATTCTGCTGCTGTCAGGGATCTTCTCCTGTCAGGGATGTTATGACATTTCTTTCTTCCCTCTGTCAGGATGGAGGAGCTAAAAATTTTGTCTGACACTTACACTGCAGAGAAAGTGGAGGTTCATCGTCTCATTAGGTGAGGACTCCCAAGAGCCTGATAAAATTATTCACAACTGGTTCCCACACGCTTCAGACTGGTTCATTTTAACATGTTCACATTCTGTCTATTTTCTGAGGACCAACATGCTTATATTGAATCTTCTCTGCCTGGGCATCTAGGGACCGTTTAGAGGGAGCCATTCGCCTGCAAGAACAGGATATAGAGAAGTCACGACAGGTCCTGAACACCTATGAGGTCCTTGGGGAGGAGTTTGACAGGCTGGTAGAAGAGTACACCCAGCTCAAACAGGCAACTGAAAACAAACGCTGGGCCCTCCAGGAGTTCAACAAGGCCTACCATTGAGCTGTGCACTAGCAGAGCCAGGAAGCATGGCTTCTGCCCAGCTGCTGCTGCCTTCTCTTCCTACAAAAAGGACTGCCTCAAACCAGGGGCTGCCTTCACTACAATGGAGTGTGGGAACACTTCCTTAAAACACTGTATCATTTAGGCATCCTTCTGGTTTTTGTTCCTTGTTTATAATGACTGAGTTTCTTCTGGAAAATGTAGCTATCAGATTTATATAATTTCACGTTTGTCAATGTCAGTCCTATATTGTATTTGATTATCTCTTAAATAAAGTGATGATATTGTGTCTTAGAATTTTAGTCATTCTCCTTGGGCAAAGGTGGAGAAAACATGGAAGTCTGTGGTAAGGAGGGAGAATTCAGCAGATGCAAGTAGAGGGATCATCATGCCTACACAAATGGTGGGAGATAGGAGTGTAGCTTGCCCTCATGGAGTCCTACAGAGCCCTACAGACTTCATTCTGGGAGAGCAGCAATAGTGCAAGCCTAAGCTCTTGAAGAGCTGTCATCTCCAGAGGAGTGCTTGGTGTCAGGCAGCTAGGAAACTGTTCTGTCTCTATAGCTGTTATAATAAGCGTCCAGGCATCCCGCTCAGTTATAGGAAGGGACACTGGCCATTTGTGCTCCTGTGGTTTCAGAGCTTTTTGGCTCCAAAGCAGAGGGTGGGAAGAGATCACCCTGAAGAACCAAGTTCTTCAGTCTGCTTAGCTGAGAACAAGGCAAGGGTCTGGCTGGTATGAAATTGGGGACTGAGAACAGGAGTAGATTCTTTTTACAAAAGAATCTACTCAGCTTCTCAACCACTTATCAGGGAGACTGGCCTGGGCATTCTTCAGCTGAGGTCAAAAGATGGGCTGGATTTGCACAGGAAGAATTAAAGTCAACTATTAAATCTTTCCATAAATGGTGTTGACCACTATTTTCTGGATGCAAATGTTGGCCTACACAAACTAATAGATAGTGGGAAAACTAAGAAATAGTCAAGATTCTTTATAGTGTTTTTTTTCTGCCAACTTCTGAGGGAAAGTTTTCAAACCTACAGAAAAGTTTAAAGAATAATAGAATGAATACCAGCATATTCTTAAATGTACACTCAACAATTGCTAAGTTTCTTTTCTCTTTGTCTCACCTTTCCTTCCTCTCTCCCTTCTCTTTTTCTCTCTATAAAGATAAATACACAGACTTTTTTTTCTGAACCATTTCATAGTAAGTGATAGATTTCATGACACTTCATTCCCTAAGTATTTCAACAAGCAACTACTAAAAATAGTAGTTGCTGAGTGGCCCAAATGGTAGAGTGCCTGCTTTACAAGCACAAAGCCCTGAGTTCAAACTCCAGTCCTACCAAAAATAAAAATAAGGGCATGCCCCCATATAACTAATAAAATTGTTATACCTAGGAATTAGTAATTCCATAATATGTATTACCCAGGATATCAAATTTCTCCAATTTTTTTCCTGGTCTAGGGCTCAATAAAGTTTTATGTCTTGTACTTCAATGTTAGGTTTCCTTAATTTCTTAATTTCTTTCTTTTTTTTTTTTTTTAAGAGACAGTGTTGCTGTATAGCCCATGCTGGCCTTGAACTTAGGATCCTCCTGTTTCTTGAGTGTCAGGATTATAGGCATTTGCCACCATGCCTATAATTTAGTTCCCTAAATTTCCTTTGAACTAGAACATTCTTCTCTTTTCTTTCCTTTTTTGTTTTCTTGTGAGTCTCACTTTGTAGCCCAGGTTCGTCTTAAATTGACAATCTTCCTGCCTTAGCATTCTGTGTTCTGGGATTACAGGCGTGTACCATGATGCCCTGCTTAACTTTTCTCTTTTTAAATGAAATTGAATCTGAAAAATACGGACCAGTTACCTTGTATAATGACCACTGTCTAATTATTTTCTTGTGTTGCTTAACTTGTTCCTTTCCTATTCTGACCAATATAGTAGCCACAAGCCACGTGTAGCTATTTAAATTCAAATTTAATGTTTAATTAAAATTAAAATGTTGGAGGTTGGAGGTCACTGTAACAGTGCAGATACAGATCATTTCTGTCATTGCAGAAAGTTCTATTGGACAGTGCTGGAAGCCTGCATTTCCTGTGCAGTGGAGGTGAGTCTACAGCTTGATTATATTTGAGTAAAACATCTTTGCAAAAAATGCTGGGTTCTTTTTTTTTGTTGTTGTTAAGTTGGTCTCCTCTCCTCTCCTCTCTCCCCCACCTTTTTCTCAGATAGGGTCTTTCTTTGTAGCCTAGACTGGCCTCAAACTCAACATCCTCCTGCCTCAGTCTGCTGAGTGCTGAGGATTGCAGTTGTACACCACCACATTCTGCTGCAAAGAACACTTCATAGGTGACATTGCATACTTCACATAATCACATCACACTGGAGCCACATCAGGCCAAAATGCGTCACTATTAATCATGTTAAGTTCAGTTGCTTGGTTAGGGTGGCAATGCCAGATTGCCACAAGAGGGATGTCTCTAGTGTATAAAGCTACATTTTTCTCTTGGTGGTTAGTAGCATCTGGAGATGAGCATCGAAAATCTCAAAATAGCATTTCCTCACTTAGGCGCTCATCCTCAACCAAAATAGGTTTGGTATTTGAAATAATAAGATAATAATAAAAAAGAAATAGAAGCCAGGTGTGGCTGTGCGTGCTTGTAATTTCAATACTGGGGAGGTTGAGACAGGAGGATCTCAAGTTTGCGATCAGCCTGGGCTACATAGTAAGATCCTGTCTCAAAAAATAAAAAATAACAAGGGCTGGTTCTGGTTGTCCGTAGCTCACACCTATATTTCTAGCTACTTAGGAGGATGAGATTGGGAGGATCTCAGTTCAAGGCCAGCCTGTGCAAATAGTTGGAGAGATCCCATCTCCAAAATAACCAGAGCAAAATGGATCAAATGCATGGCTCAAGCAGTACAGTGCCTACTTTGCAAACCTGAAGCCCTATGAATACATAAATAACAAGGGCTGGGGATGTAGCCCTGGGTTCAAACCCCAGCACCACAAAAAAAAAAAAAAAAAAAAAAGGAACTTGTCCTTAGTGTTCACAACTTACAGAAAATAGTAGACCCACAAAAACAATTTAAAAATATAAAGTAATGAGTGCAAATAAATGTGATTGCAAACCAATCACATTTATTATAAATCAGAATTTATATGGTACAGCCTTGGTAGGAAGGCAGATTTGTTTCAGACTTTGTAGAATTATTTTGGGACTAGAATTTTGGAAAATGCAACTAAGAGGAAGGGGAAGGGTTAGGAATGGGCAGAGTTAGGAATGGACAAATTATATATGCCTGTAACCCCCGCTACTCAAGAGGTGGATTTTAGAAGGATGAAGGTTCAGAGACAGCATGGGCAAAAAGTTAATGAGACTCCCCATCTCAACAAAAAAGCCAGTCATGGTGGTACATGCCTGTCACCTTAGCTATATGGAAAGCACAGATCGGGATCATATTCCCCAGAATAAAATACAAGACCTGGGCTGATGAAGTGGCTCAATTGGTACAGCACCTGCCTAGCAAGCGTGAGGTCACGAGTTCAATCTGCATTCCTGTACCCAGTACCACCCAAGAAACAAAACAAAAACAAAAGACTCTATCTGAAAAATGACTAAAGCAAAAAGCACTGGAGATGTGCCTCAAGTGTACAGCCTCTGCCTAGCAAACCTGAGGCCCAGTACTATCAAAAAAAATTTTTTTTAAAGTGACCAAGATTTGGGAAAAACCTTCAGTGGAGGATGGGGGGTGGGGGTGAGGGCTGAGATTTAAGGAATGGTTAGATTCCCCACCTGCCCAAGAAAACAAAATGGCTTCCAAGGCAGAGGCTCCCACTGTAGCTCCCTAACCAGTGTGAACATGGACAGGAACTATTTCTTCTAAAGCCCTAAAGAAAACTGAGCAGTTGCCTGCAACAGTTCTGCACATGCTATTTAATTTTAGGATTTATTCAGTTATTTACAATTTCACAGAGATGGGAAGGCCTGCTTTTTTTTCAGTCCTTCTTTTCTTCCTTCCTTCCTTCCTTCCTTTCCTCCCTCCCTCCTTTCTTCGTTTTTTTTTTTTTTTTTTCCCAGTGGAACTCAGGGCTTCACGTCTTGGGAAGCATGTACTCCACTGCTTGAGCCACGCCTCCAGTCCCTGTACAAACTATTTTAAAAAGATCTTTATTGGCTTAAAAACAAAACTCAGTAGTATATATAGTAAAAGAGATTGAACCACACCCCCCACTTTCATCCACACACCCCTACTTGCCCCCTTCTCCCAATCCACCTCCCCAGAGTAATCAGTGATTCTGTGTGTATATGTCAGGTTTTTCCTATAAATATGCAGACATGTGCATAAATATTAGTTAAGATTACCAGAGCATGGCAGTATCATGACTTCACCATCCCCTTTGTGACAGGTATTTAGATTGCTTCCAATCTGCCCTGCTACAAAAATGTTTCACTATCATATATATCCTGATATATGTCCTGCTATATATATCACTGACTGTCATATATATCCTACTTTAGGGCCTTTGCTTTTTGTTTGGTATTATAGTAAGTCAGCATATTAAGTTGGTATATTAGTAATGTCATGGAAAAATAAATTAGATACTAAGCTTATGAATGTAGTTTGGCAGAAAAAGTCTTTCAAAGCAGTTCATGGAAGGGGAAAAGGGACAAAAGGGATGTCCAGTTCCAGGCAAAGGGAGCACCACAGCAGTTTCAAATCCTTTCATGCTTCACCATAACAGGAGATGGAAGTTTGCCAGAGGTGCTCTCCCCACTGTGGTGCTCTGCTGTGGAGCAGATGAGAAGGGAAGTGGGAGGGCATAAAGAGGGGCTGTGCCACAGGGACAGCTGGGTTCAGAGTCTTGGACCTTATAGGCACTCACACTTTTCAGAGAACATTTACATACTTTACAAATCACAGCTCTTTTCACTTGCCTCTTGCTATATCTGATTGGTCTTGTTGATTTTTCCCTCATGATGACAGGCAAAGAAAATTAGCTCCAGAACTTGGGTGAGGATCGCTCTGGATAAAGAGACTCCGGGGCTCTTGTTCAAACAAAATCTGTTCTCTCTCTGGGAATGACCTTGCATTATTCCTCAGGTACCACAAATAGGGAAGCAGCGCCCTCTAGAGACCCGCGTGGTTATCTCAAACGAGAGGGGTGTCCCCTGGGATCCAGTCACCCTGTGCTGTCTCTCACTCTACAGAGAATATCCACATTACCTATTTTGAAGGATCTGGACTAGGTTTTGTTTAAGGAACTGGACTTTGCGACAGCGAAGATATAGGA